AAACATTAAGAACTGTTCTTTAGACTACCATTAGGACATGACAACTAAACTCTTTGGAAATTGATAATGCTAGTTATCAAAAATCAACTAGTTAAAGTTCTAAGAACCAAGAACCAAATGGATGACAAAATTTATTTCGTAGACGAAGTCATAAAAAAATCCCTTAGATTACCAACTTATCACTACGATTTGAATCCTATATGATATATGATATGTTATATCTCAATAGAGAAGAGAGCCCAGTGACGTCATTGTTCGATGCACGAAATAAGCGTCATTCTATCTCCTTCTCGCGTTATTGCGTTCTTTATTTTATAGGTGAAGCAGTGGCCGCACTTATTTCAATTACGTGTATTTTATTCTTCAATGTCTCGCGCTTTCACCATATTTTTAATACCCATAATGTTGATTATTCTAGTACATTGTGTTTAGTTTTAGTTCGTCATAACTGGAAATTTTTGGTAAATAATAATTTGCGTATTGTTCTTTATAATTTGTGAATGTTGCGAAGATTACTGGAATTTGTTATGAAAAACTAAAACAATTAAATGAACTAAACACAATACAATATCCTATTTTACTCAATAACCAACATTTTTTTTTAAACTAGGTCAAGTGTTCTAGAACCTCTAAAACACTTGTCTGCAACCTTTGGCGTTTCTTTTAAAATCCTTTTGTAGGTATGGAAGGAAACCTTCGTAGCTGCTAAAAAGTATACATTATTATTTTCAGCCATCAAAATTATTTACCTATGATTTTTTAAAGGAATACTTAATCCTTCTCCTTCCATATGCATAAAATTCGATACATTGGTCACAATTTCCCTTCCCTGACTATGGACCACTTGTCCCTTCCTTCCGAGTTTCTTTGGCCACATTTAAAGAAATAATCTAAAAAGAAAACGTATGTTACATCAGTTAGTAGAACATGTACTTAAATTTAATAAAAAAAAACTGTTACCAAATTGTAAATTACTTCAAGCACTAGTCCCGGCTTATGGTTTAAATTGATTTATAAAGAAACACATATTATATTTACTTCCTAATTTTAAGCAAAACGTGATAGAAAATTTTGCAGATTTGGTCACCTTGTAAATTATCTGGCTTATTTAATTTATTATATTAGAGTTGTACCGGTTTGACGCAAATAATATTATTTCATTAAAATGCAAACAACGGAAACGATTTGATCCACGCCAATGGCGGCTCCTTTTTTGGAACGACAGCTGATTTTTTTTGCAGATTTGTCTCCTGCACATCTGTAAGGCCATCTAATGGTTAGAATATCTTAATCATGTACTTGAAGTGGAAAATAATTATAAAAAAAAAAACGCAAAAGCATTAAGTTCTAGTATTTATTATTTATATAATTCAATTCAATTATGCATTACGCGATAAAACGGAATGTATTCATATTTTTTTGGTTTCATTTTCCTTACTAATAATTGTGACTATATTTATTTATTGGCTCAAAAGTGCCTACGAGCAGATAAAAACTTTCATGGCATTGTTAATATCGTGTATCGGACTACGCCGACAAATTTTGTCGCTTCCCCGTGGGTTCGTTTGTCTCCGATTCGAATTACAACCGATTTTTCCACGTTCTAGCAAAACATAGTTGACCGTAAACCACGTCGAACGGGAAACATCAAAGTCGAGTGGAAAGCCTTCCAATTTTCGTCATTAAATTCAGAACCTTTAGCGGCTTACCTTACTGCGAGCTTTTGAATGCGAAGGTACCCAAATGAGACTCGCAATTTTCCGCTTTCGCGTTTACAGTTTTGCCAATTTGGAGATATTAAACAGGTAAATGTCGACTTCAATCGGTTCGATATACCAAAGCGCGATTATGTAGGAAAACGGAAAAGTTTAACTTCAATTTATGGTTCGATATACCAAAGCGCGATTATGTAGGAAAACGGAAAAGTTTAACTTCAATTTATTTCCGAACGAAGTGGGGTAATTTTAATTTCGTCAGATATTATTTACAGCGCTTTATTTTATAGAAAGGTCTCCATAGAAGGCGGGTTTCAAATGAAAAGCATTCGTTTCCTTGTCTTATCTTCTTTAATAAAATTTTCCGAAATTTGGACCACAAAAAATCCGGAACAATGCTTGCATAATGAAAAAAAAAATAGTAATCGAATAAGTGTTAATTAAGTAACTTTAAGGATTCATTCCTTGGTTAATTTTTGACATACAAGGAGTTTTATAATGCCAGATGGTATAGTACAATAACAGTAAAAAAGCTGTTAATGACGCAAATACTGGGACTTTGAACTGGCCTCCACGCAGGCCAGGCCTTAACCCCATAGAACATATATGAGATCAAATGGGTAAGGTAGCGCAGAAATCGTCAACATTCTACCTCCTCGGAAATGAAGTAATCTTAATTTCATCGTCGGTTTTCGCATTTTGTTTACCGCGCTTTATTTTTATCGGAAGGTCTCCATAAACGACCCGACTTGAACGGCGATTTGAAGACGGATTTTTCTTATCTTTTTCAACAATTTTTTTTCCGAATTTTTGACACAAAAAATGCTGAAGGATAGACCCTCCTTGGATGATGCAAAAAATGTGGACTAACATTCCACCATTTTGTGATTACGAATTCATAAAACAGGAATTAGAAAATGAAATAAATTTAATTATTTGTTAAATAACAATCATCCTAAAACAGCTGCAGTTTTAGTATTCGTGAATTAAATCAAATTGCTAATAAAAAAAATCTTGAAAGCAGTAAATGTGTTTGTTAAAATTGGTGAAATTACAAAAAAAGCACCAATTTATCAACTGGTTAAATTAATCACTACCTGTGAAAATATTTTGCTTTAAGTTTCCACTTGATTTAGTTGGTTGACATTTTTTCTTTAACCTCTCAAAATGATGAGAGAATGTCCAAGGATTTATTTTATTAAACGGAAACCTTATAAGGTGAATTTTTTGGCGCGATTTAGAAAAGAGAGTGAATATTATTGTAAGATCAAATAATAATAAAAATTTAAAAAATAATGCATGTTTTTTTTTACATAAAAAAAAGATAAAAAGGTAACTAAAACTTCACAAAACAATAAATTTCGAAACAGGTGAAAAAAATTAACATTCAAAAAATATCAGAAAACCACAATTTTTAGACTGCTAGCAGTTCTCGAAGAAACGGGTAACAGTACTATAAAAAGGTTTTAAAGTGTTATTTCCCACTGCTTATGCTTATGCTTATACGGACCTCTTCCACCTTCAGTTCTTTTTCGTCTTTTCATTTTTAGTTCTAGCAAATTCCTTCATTCCCCCCTTGAGAAGGCAAGTATTTTTATTATTAAAAATACCTTCTCTTTTATTCTTAACGCATACATATCTTTTAAAATTTAAGACCAGTACAGAACATGTTTTGCGTTTAATGAGAATTAATACAAGCATTTTCTCTATTGGTTTCCTCCGTAGTATCCATAACATAACGTAATCTTTGGGGGCTCAATTGATGTTTTACACTCAATTATCCCGTCGAAGTCACAATTTATGTATAAATCGTGATTGGTGTCAGTAAGAGCTAATATCATCCGGTTATTTGGTATTTTCGACATATTAAACTTCATTTGTCGATATTAAAGCCGTTCTTGAGATACTTGAAATAGTCAGGGCATAAGATCTTAATTGGTCAAAACATTACAATTTTTTTATTGTAATTTAATTAATGTAATTGTAATTTATTTTTAATGTAAAATTAAATTAATGTATTTTTTTTATTCATAAACAGTACAACACGGATATAATAGCTGTTGTAGAATGATTCTTATTCAAGAAATAATACATAATCACTAGAACTACGAGCTAAAAACAAGCTCTGTTGGATGGATGGTCTACGGGATTGAATCCATCATCAGGCAAGAGTTGTCGGCTGATAATATTAAGTGACATTGGAAGCATATATTGGTTTCTAGATAGTGGTTTTCTTATCTTTCCAACAAATCCGGAGATTACCATGAAGATATGAACTCTGACTTGTTTAAGATTTCTGAAACATTTTCCAGAAAACCTTTAAGAAGGCAAAAATGTTATTGATTCAAGTTTTAAAATAGACATCACAGTTATGTGGAGTGGTAAATTAGAACTAAAGTATTGTATTGTATTGGAAAACAGTCGCTAATAGTTAAACTAGAAACGAAGAAGAAGAGAAATTAAATTCCAAATATGATTAACTTGAAGTCTACACAAATCAAGAGCAACTCAGGTGTTAGACCGAGACATCTGACCTCAGCCGCTGCGTGCTTAAGGTTAACCCAGTGTCTACGTCTTATACCAATTTAAAAATTCATGATCATGCCTAGATATCTATGTATCTATGTACCTATTTTCAAACCAGTGTCTGAGCGCAATGTCAATAAACAAATTATGATGATTAATTACTTCAACATGATTGTTATTTAGCAAAAAGCAAATGCTCTGAGAGTGGCTGAAGCATTCACCTATAAGTACTTTAAAACATTCATAAAGTTGGAACTGACACCATAGCTCTGTAACTTATGCCACAGTAAGTTACAACAGACAGAGTCTAACGCTCCACGAAAATCAATAAAGACGGCATAAACCTGTCTGCCTTTCAGGTCCAAATTCAATTGTACATTGAAATGGAGAGTATAAATGTTGTCAATTTAATCAATTTCAACTTCTTCCAGCTTCTTTTCCAGTGTATCCAAAGTTTTGATAAAGACGATGATATTTATAAGCTTTGATTCAATGATTGCGCAATAATAGGTATTGAGCTCGTAATTAAATTTTGTCGGATTTTCTATGAAAAGCCAAAACGACATACTTCGAGACACACCATACCTGCAAATTATCTGGCACTCTCTCGCGTTTCCGTTGGACACAAAAGGTGGCTGAATCTACGGCGGACGATCTTCACCGGAGAACGAGTTCGAGATAAAATATATCGATTTTCATTATTTGGAGACCGGCCGATATTTTCTTCTTCTTTTGTTTCACTTGGCGCTTTTGTTTCAGATGGCGACTTGTACACCGGCACGGTGGCCGATTTCAGCGGAACCGATCCTATTATCTACCGAGAACCGCTACAAACGGAACAATACGACTCGATGAGCCTGAACGGTAAGTTTTTGGCACGGAGTGTATGGAAAAATGTCGGAATTTTAAAAAGTTCGCTTCAAATTCGACAATTTTCTTCCTGTTAACCAATTTAATCGATTAGTTAGATCGAGTTATCTTTGCTTCGTTACCAGTTTCATTGGCTGCGGTTTATTTGACTTTTTGGTCTGCATGTACGGGGTGGCTCAAATTCGACGCTCATTATTGGGATTTCGGAACCCGTAAGAAATACAGGATCGGTTAAACTGAGCCGAAGTTGCGTAATTTGATACTCAATAAAATGCCGTTTTGCATTTTAGAAAAAACGGAATACTTCCGAAAATATTCTAAAAAAAAGGAATTTTCAATTTTTCAATTTTTTCATTTCAAAACACATTTTCATGGCCAATTTTTCTGCCATATAACTCAGTCTGATTAAGTATTGAATCTGACTTTTCAGCTTCTGGCGAAAATCATTAACTTAATTTTTTTAACTACGGACCTGACCATTTTGCTATTAACTAGAACTTTTTTTAGAATAAAACACACAGCCACCTTATAAAATAAAAAGCAAAACAAGAAAATGCATCGATGCAGAAAGTTATCTCTTTGAACACTTATATAGTGATTTAATTATTTTTATTTTTAATGTTTGTATCAAGATAGTATGGCACACATTGTTTATGTAAACTGATTTATTGCCTTCTTTTTCGTATCTTACCTTTAATTTCATGAAAGTTGCTATTAATAAAGTAATTTCCGCTGTTAGATTTCAAATTTATTCTTTTTTTTCCTTCTCATGTTAAAATCTAGTTCAGAGACGTATTGTGGTTAAATAAATGTAAAATATTCTGAGTGATGGAATTTTCTGTACGAAACGTCGGCAAATATCAAAGTGACGATGTATAGCGTTTTAAGAGTGAAGAAAGGATTTAATTAAATTGAAAAATAGATCAGCTCCGTATTTTAAAAAGTTGATGATGCTCGCCAAAAGTCGAAACTTCAGATTCAATTCTTACTGAGTTATAGAGCAGTATAGAGCAGAAAAAGTGGCTCTGAAAATGTATCCTGCATCCGACTGGAATCCTGGAAATCCTGCATCCGACTGGAATCCTGCAGACGTTTCGCCAAAATCTCACTTGGCATCTTTAATGCTCGCGTGTGCTCAATGTGTTCGAAGTGTTTTCGGAGCGCGAGCATTGAAGATGCCAAGTGAGATTTTGGCGAAACGTCTGCAGAATTCCAGTCGGATGCAGGATTTGCAGGATTCCAGTCGGAGTTCAACGAGCGAACGGATGATATCCCGGAATATAGTGTCATCATATATATATATATATATATATATATATATATATATATATATATATATATATATATATATATATATATATATATATATATATATATATATATATATATATATATATATATATATATATATATATATATATATATATATATATATATATATATATATATATATATATATATATATATATATATATATATATATATATATATATATATATATATATATATATATATATATATATATATATATATATATATATATATATAGCCGGGAGATAATAGAGACCTATACAAATGATATCACTTTATTGTTTCTTCATTTTCCGCCTATCTCTTACAAGAGGGAGAAAACTTTATTTGACAAAAATTAACATTTCGACATTTTCTAACAGCTTTAATTGTTATAAATTTTTCGACATTTTCCAGCTTTCCCTTAGGATTTTGGAAAAGAAAGATCATTTCGACATACTCTAACTGTCTGCAATTTTATTTGAAAAAAAAGAGCATTTTGGCATTTTCTAATTGTCAGGAAGATCCCCAATCTGTTGCGATTATTTTTTATTTTTGTAAATTTTTTGAATTTCCACCCCGGATTTCACTTACGAGATAACGAAAACTTTATTTGACAAAACATGATCGTTTAGTCATATTTTAACCGTTTGCAAAATATCAATTCACCACATCACTTTCAATTTTTGTAAATTTTCCGACTCTACGATATAGAGATAGATCAATTTATTTATTATTTATTTAGTTTCGCATAACTTTATAAAATCAGGTAATACCTGCTTTTATAAAGTTATAAATAATATAAATGACTAGGCTTGTATGGTTAAGCTCAAAACCCATACATATGCCTAATCAAACAGTTAAAGAGAACTAACGTGCTGCAGAGAAATTATTTTTTATTTTTAAAAAAACTGGAATAACATTATTTTCAATCTTTAAGAAAATTAAAAAAAAGTTTTCTTTTCGACTTTATGTTCCATTTGTAGAGTGAGTCAACGTTAGAGTGAGTAAAGGTTATGATCTCATTTTAAAAGCTATAAAAAAAATGGTAAATACAGTATGCACAATTTTATTTTTTTACATAATAATACATTCTTAAACCTGATAATTTTTCCAAAAAAAGAACTAGTTTGCAAAAAAGTTATTTTTTCCGAAAGATCTTACAAAAATCTACAACTTTTATTGAATATATCACATACCTATTTTTAACATAGTGCGATTTATTTCAACTTTTTGCTTTTCATTGGATTCATTGGATGGTCCACTCGATCATGTGACTTAACGCCACTAGATTTCTTTTTGTGTGGATATGTTAACCACAAGATATGTGAGTAGTGACTGTTGTAATTGGTAGGGCTACCTACATTCGATCTTCGATATTTTTTTATTATGTTATTATGTTTTTTGTGAAACAGAAGCCTTAGGCGTGTTTTGTGTGCTCGGCCATTTTTTGCTCTAAAAATGATGGAACAAAGAATTTGCATAAAATATTGTGTAAAAAATGGAATATTGGGCTGCACTTGAAATGTTGACAACAATGTTTATAAGTGGTAGAAGCTGTTCCAAGATGGCCGAGAAAACGCCGATGACGAACATCGCTCTGGACGCCCAAGCACGTCAATAACTGATGAAAGCGTTAAAGAAGTGAAACAAATGGTGTTGAAAAATTGTCGAAGCACTATTGGAGAAGTGTCCGAAGACATCGGCATCTCTATTGGCTCGTTCTATGGAGGACCGTCGAAGGAGCATCGCTCAAGAGCTGTTAAACAACGTCAATGATGATCCTGGTATGCTCGAAAAGGTCATAACTGGTGACGAATTATGGGTATATAAGTCATAATCAAGTCGAAACCAAAGCCCAGTGGCCCCAGTGGAAGAATCTAGAATCACCACTATTTTCGTTGATTATCGTGGCGTAGTTATCAAGAGTTCTTACCGTAAGGTCGCGAAGAAAACGTCTGGAATTGTGGAAAAACCATCCATGGATTTTCCATCACGATAATGCACCTGTTCACTTATCGTTGCTTGTGTCTAACTTTTTTGCCAAAAACAAAACCACGACATGTCTTAGCCACCATATTCACCGGATATGGCTCCCTGCGAGTTTTTCCTCTTCCCAAAACTAAAGAAACCTATGAAAGGAAACGATTGAGGAAATCGCTGGAAGAATCAAGGCTGTACCAGAAAGTGCTTCCCAGAAGTGCGTCGAGGATTGCAAAAAACGTGGTCACAAGTGTATTACATTCCCGGGGGGGGGGGGGGGGGATTACTTTGAAATACTTTTTGCTCAAAATTAAAAATCACCTTACTTTTTGAACTTTTTGAACACACCTCGTATAGATAGGATTCGGACGCGTGCAGGACAATAACAATAACACCGTTTATGTAACAACGTCCAAGAAAATATGCGAAAAATAGAAGAGCATATTTATCTGCATTTATTGGGCCATAATAGTAATTAAAAATAACACAATTTAATTTGTAATAATAATTATTTAGTATCATTTACTGTTTCTTGGATTTAATTTGCTTTTGCTTGCTTTATCTAGGGCTCCAGTTCAACAATTGTCTTAGACAGAAAGAAGGGTAAATATTGAAAAAGTTAAAATATCGTAAAGTATTAAAAATAGGTATACGACATATTTAATAAAAGTTGTACGTTTTTGTCAGATTTTTCAGAAAAAATAATAATATATTTCTTCGAGACTTTTCAAAAATAAAGTTCGCTCATTTTGAACACCCTGTATCATACAATATCAAATTCCGTTGTATATATCTTTTACTTCATTTTCGAATAACTTTAATATCAAATATGAGCAATCTACCTTGGAAAATAATGGCGCTATCATAATAAAACTACCATGTATTGTTATTTTTCAAAAAGGTAAAAAATTCCAAAACGAATTCAAAACAAAATTTAAAAACAGCGTGCTCCATTAAAAATAAATTTAGTTTTATTCGTCACGCGTTTTTGATGTACAATTTTGTTTTTATCATTTTCACATAACTTTTGAAACCAGTGAGATAATGAGATCATTTTAATCCAACGTTGACTCACCCTGTACATAGTTGTAATATTCCACCGTTTGTAACATCATGTTTCCTTTCGATATCAATCAACGTATCCAATACATTAGGGAGGTAGAAAGAAAGTAATTTCTTAGTAATAAGGTAATAACAAAAACTTCTTAGTTACAAATCAAAGGGGACAAGAAATTTAAGTGCTACAGGCATTTTATAAGAATAACGAAAAGGTTTTATAATGGCATTATAACACCAAACAAAACATAACAAAAATGGAGTTGGTAGATGTTCATTGATTAGTTTTCCAATTAGATCCGACTGCTGGCAGCTTTAAAGTTTTTACTCGTAAATAAATCCTTTTGAAAATGGCCAAAACATAATTCAAGACGATGCCCAAAACGCTTTTAAACTTAATTATGCAGACTGAGAAGTGTAAACGTCTTTTGATGCCAGTCGTGAACACGACGCAACATAGTTAATTGAAAGGAAAATTTCAAATTTCAGCCATTATAAATAGTTGGCGCCAATATCATTTTCCGAGCTTTGATGATGTGATTAAAATTTTAAATCCAAACCGCGTACAACTAGGCGAAGTCGTTCGTTAGTCAACTTTCGTATCTTGGAGAATTTGTGCTGAATCTGTACAAAATGACACATGGTAAAAATTTTGTATTTACAGGGTGATCCATAATACGTCATAGAGTAACCACAAAGACAAGACGTCATTACCGCCAAAATATTGCTCGTTTCAAATATACAGTTTAAAGTTCGATTTTTTTCAAAAAGGGGTTTTCAGGATGAGAAATTTGAATCTGAACTTAGTTTATAAGTTGCTTGTAGAGGGCGCTAGTCAAACCTTTAATTTAATTGAATATTTCATCATAATTTTTATATCTGAAAGTTTTTGGCAATTTTGGATAACAAATCTGAATCACAATTCTGAATATCCTTCATTTCAACCGCTGTCCAGAACTAAGCATGAAATATTGTAATTAGAAAAACAAATTAATGATGCTGCTTTTCTAAAAAATAGAAGCACAACGACAATTCTAAACATCCTTCATAATGAAAGACTTTATCCATATCATTTCACTCCTGTCGAAAAGTAGTTGCCTCATATAACACCGGCAAGATTAAGCTTATGTAACTTGTTATTTAAAAAACAACTGAATGGTACTGCTTTTCTAAACAGGGACAAACAAAATGACAATTCTGAATAACCTTCACAATGAAAGATTTTATCCATACCATTTCAACCCTGTCCAGAACTAGTTGCCTCATGAAAAACCAGTATGACTTAACTTGTGTCACTTGTTATTAGAAAATATCCTTCATCCATACCATTTCACACCTGTCGAGAACTAGTTGCCTCATAGAACACCAGTAAGACATATTTTCTGTAACTTGTTATTAGAAAAACGAGTAACTGAAGCTGCTTTTTTAAATAGGGATAAACAAAATCAAAATGCTGAATATTCTTCATAATAAAAGATTTTATCCATACCATTACACCCCTGTCCAGAACTAGTTGCCTCATCAAACACCCGCATGACTTAACTTGTGTCACTTGTTATTAAAAACAAAATGATGCTGCTTTTCTAAACAATTTATTGTTTACAGACAAAACCCAAACTACTATTGGGAAGAAGAGAAAAATCATTTGGTGATATAAAAGACATTTTCACTATGAATATTTGGTGTGACATCGTTGGTGATTTTATAATTGGACTTTATGAACCACGAAGCAAGACTTAACGGTGAAACGTATTTGCGATTTTTACTAAAAAGTTTATCAATTCTATTGGAAAACCACTGGCAATTCGACAAAACATAAGGTGTTTTTCTGTCGTGCTCCTGCGGACCACTATGGAACTTTCGCAAAATTTGTTGTAATTGAATTTTGGATACACCCTGTATAAAGTGTTTCTCACATCTCATCGAACTTCAAACTTATAGCAAACTTTGGTAAATATTGAAATTTGTACCGGTAATTGCGATTTAATATTATGTTTTCTCAAATATCTCGGCCACTCTGTATTATAGACGAATACTGGATCTCTCTCTCGACACAATTTACGAGTCTCTGTTGTTTTGGGATCTTTTAGATTCTTTACCCATAAATGACACACCCTGTATACAATTCAAACAATTTTCGAATCCGAGGTCATAGCTCTGGATCTCCCATGTTTCCCAGTCCATGAACTTTTCCAATACAGTAAATGGTTTTCGAGAAAATAATTCTTTTCTGGAACAAAGCAGTACGTCGTCATAGTAAATGACGTCTAGACTGAGCTCGAGGAATAGTGATTTTCATATGGATTTTTTTAAAATATCTCGAGCAAGGTATGTGATAGACGAAAACCGTAAATACAAAAATTGTAGCTCCTGATGCGGCCTATAACACCGTTTGAACCGATTAGCCATACGAATTTTGATTTACGATTAATAATTTATTTCCGAAAAATACAATTTTTACGGTCTCTTAGATTTTTGCCTATAATTAAAAAACCCTGTATATAAACGAAAAAATGCACGAAATGAAAGTCATAGCCAAGGATCCCCTGCGATTCCTGATTCTAAAATTTTGCCGATTGATTTAATAGTTTTTGAGAAAATCATGTTTTTCTGTGAGCTAAAACAATCAAAGACAAATTTTCATTTTTCTTTTGTGATATTCGATTGTGCTCAATTTCTACTGTTTAGATGTTGCTACAGGCTTTTACTTCCTTGCCGAATTTAAAATCGATAGCTGCATATTTGAGACATCTATGGCGTTTTTCAATCAAAGCCTCCTAGTTATGTTGAATTATCTTTATAAAGCATGCCCAATTTCAAGTTTTTTGTAAATTACCCACGCACACGTTTTGGACAAACAATTTTTTCCTCGATACCATGCAAATGGTTTTTAAATTTTTCAAAATACTTTCCGAAGCCCAGCCTCCCAGTTTCCGTTAGGGGACTAAACTCTATATTTGCGCCAATTTTGAAATCAATAGCTGCAAATCTCGGACACTTATCCTGTTTCATAGCGATGTACGAAAAACAGACGAAAATCGCAAAAAAAGACATATGAAAAATTCCAATCGCGGCCATTTCCTTTGCTTATGTATCTCGTAGCCAGTTTAAAAGGAGAAAAATTCAGCATCCTGGCTTTAACGGTTCCAAAGTTATTCGCGTTTTTATGAAGCGTCGACAGAGAACCGAGAACAGAGAACGGACAGACAAAAAAAAAGTTTTTTTATTTGTGTACCAATGGGACTCCCCGTTTCTTTGCCAAACGGGTATACTTTTGAAAAATTCGATTTCATCAATTTTTCGAAAATAACAAGATTGCTTTCGAAAAATCGTCGTTGAGCGGGGAAAATTTTGTTGAGTGTATATATTTTTCCAAATATTTCGCACACCCTGTATAATTGACAAAACCTGAAACTCTCTCTCGACACAGTTTACAATACTGTTCAAACCAAATCATCCCATATTTAGCAGTTTTTCGATTATCGCCAATAATTTACCTACAAAAACGGAAATTTTAAGAAAGTTTTAGATTTTCTGCCAATAGTCGAACACCCTGTATATAATTCAAACAAGTTTCGAAATAGGGGCGATAGCACTGGATCTCCCACATTTCCCGGTGTTTGATATTTTTCCAATAGAATATGTAATTCTCAAGAAAATACTTGTTTTCTGAAACCATGCAGTACGCCGTAATAATCAATGACTTCATCGCGTCTCGATTGAAGGCGAGAAATTGTGATTTCCATTTGGATTTTTTCAAATATCTCGCTGAAATTGTGATAGACGAAAACCGTAAATACAAAAATTGTAGCTCTCGATGTGGCTTATTACACTGTATAAACCAATTGGTCATATTTTTCATGAATTTTGATTTACGCCTGATAATTTAATAGCCAAAAGAACGAGTTTCATGGTCTTTTAGATTTTTGTCCATAATTGAGAAACCCTGTATACATTCGAAAAAATGTCTGAAATAAAAGCATAGCCCTCGATGTCCCGTATTTTCTGGTTCTAATTGGTTCTGATAGGTTGAATAGTTTTTGAGAAAATCATGTTTTTCTCGAAGCCAAAATATTCCAAGAAAATTTTTCAAAATTTTTAAAAAAATATTTGGTGATACTTGATTACGCTCAGGTTCTACTGTTTAGATGTGGATATGGACTTTTACTTCCTTGTCAAATTTAAAATCGATAGCTACATATTTGGGACACTTATGACGTTTTTGAATATAGTACGGAATATCCCGATCACCCTGTACAGTATGTAAAAACTTTAAATACAAAAGTTTTAGCCTTCTTGTTATGGTCAATTATCATTACAAGGGAAGACCAATTTTCATTTTTTTGCAAATTACCCACGCACCCTGTACATTTTCTAAAAAATCATCAAGAATAAAAGTTTTTGGTCCGGATCTTGCGCGTCGTTTCGTTAGTTAGAATTTCTTCGATCGCCTATACCGTCTTGGAGAAATGATTTTTTCCTCGATACCCTGCAAGTGCAGTTTCTAAATTTTTAAAAATACTTCCCGACCCCCCAGCCCCCAGTTTCAATAAGCTTCCTTACGGAGCTAAGCTCTATACTTCTGTTAAATTTTAAGTGGATGGCTTCAAATTTTGGACACTTATCGTGTTTCATAGTAATGTCCAAAAAACAGTCGAAAATCTGAAAAAAAGATGGACGCCTTAGTTTGATCAGACTCATTTTTTACTAGTTGGTGTACCTCGTGCACGGCTTAAAAGGAGCCAAATTTGAATATCGTGCTGCAAACCGTTCAAAAGATATAGGCAATTAATGCCAGGTCTACAGAGAGAACGGAGAACAGAAAAAAAAAAGTTTTTTTTTCTACGATGATCATTTCTGTACCAATGGCGGTACCCTATGTCCTACCGTTGCCGAGATATAAGTTTCGTTGCCAAACGCGTATACTTTAGAAAAATTCGATTTCATCAATTTTTCGAAAGTAACAAGGAATAAATCAAAAATTAAAGAATTTATCTTACTAAAGGGTTGTCACAGTATTTGCGAGATAATTTTACTTTTTGAAATCCTTTTGGGCCAACTTTGGTCAATCTCTGGAGCACCAAAACTGGTTCGATTTCGGAAAATTTTCAACGGAACTTGCATTTATTTTCGACTCGTTTCTGTAAGGAAAATGGCAATTTTGGATTAGCTTTCGCCAGCGCAACGCAACCCTCTTATCTACATCATTGTAAACGTTTAGATTAGGGATCATTGCTAAAACATAAATAATATAAGAAATACATTATTTGAAACTAGCACGAAGTCCTTCCACAAAGGTAACTAACTATCCAGACTTGTATAGTCAAATAAAGTAACAGTATTATAGTAAGGTGTAGAAAAATGCTATAAAACCTTCTTAAAAAAATCCGAAGTAGCAACACCAAAGTAATTATTGATAAAGTTACATTTACAAATTACAAAACTCGTAGCTCCAATGGTTTTCTTCCAAAACTATAAAAACTGTTTCTTATAAACTAGTCATAAATATCCGTTAGCTTACAATAATACTTTCTGCGAAAAATGTTGCAAGTACCCCAGCTATATGTATGTAGTCTGATACATCGATTTCTTTTTTTCAGCTCCCGATTTCGTGGGATCCATGACGCAGGGCGACTTCGTATATTTCTTCTTCAGGGAGACAGCGGTCGAATACATCAATTGCGGAAAGGTGGGTCTTAATAAACCGGTGTCTATTTATTTCCACGTTGACGGATTTATGGGCTCCGAAAACGGTCAATTTGCCAAGAGGAAAGCGGACAGGAACGGTTTTCATCGGCCCAAAATTACCGAACCAAATCAAATACGCGAAAGTTTTACCTCGTTGTGGATGGCAATAGCTACACGGTTATTTAAAGATAACTTGGCTATTTACTCTTTGAAAGCTGGAGGTAGAATCCTAACTCAAATTGTAAATAAATTCTTATAATGTGTAAATAAATTCTTATAATGTTGTCTATTACAGGAAGTGATGGAGTATGCATTATACAGAAATTAAAAATTAAAAATCATAATGTTCTTCGCCATCTGGGGCAGTATTATCTGCTCTTGACCATATAATTAAGTAAAAAATAACTCAAATTTTAAAAATATTTTATATCAATGTATTTCCATATGCCAACATTTTAATAAATATTTTCTTGTGATTCTACCGCAGCCAGATACGGTAGTGATGAATTTTGTTGTTTTATCGTTATCAATGTTTGCTTTCCATAATGTTCAGATAGAATTATTATTTTATAAGCGTTCCTCGGCTCTTGTTTGATGACATAATAGCTGTAATGTAATTTTTCCTCAGAATTTTTTTTTTGCTATTATTATCTATTTCCCCAATACCGTACCTCGTTGCCCTTATTGGAACACCCGGTATATTCAGCGATTAGCAAATTTAGTATGTATAGGGTTATCACTTCTATTTTACCTGCAGCCGTAATCACAGGTTTTAGAAAAACACAGTTTGAATACCAAAGATATAGGGGTTTTCGTCTACCATCCAAAACTGATATCACCTACCATAGAGGGTGTCTTAAAATAGTATATTATGCAACAAGTGCGGTAAATCGCATTTGACTCACGAGTTAATTTGACACGAGCGGAGCCAGTGTTTAATAAACGAGTGAGTTAAAAAGTTTACCGAACGTGTGGCATACTATACTTATTCTACGACCGTTAGTTTTTGGGTACACTTTCGCAAAACGACACGAATACATTCACTGACATGACCGTCAGAACTGACAAACGTCAAAATTCAAAGCCTGGGAAATATCTCCGAAAACATCCGATTGCTCCCAAATCCGTGCGGTAAAATCCCGGGAATATCCGAATTGGCTCGGATTCGTGGGACAGGACACTGACGTGGTAAAGTGACGCTTCCCGCATGCTAGATGCGGTGGGTAATTAGGTATTTTACAGACGGGAGTAGAAAGAAATTATTCCAAAAATGCTTTTTTTTTCTTAATGGAACTCCTTAAAGATTGTCGAAGAAGAAGTTTTGTTCATGACCGCATTGCCTCTATTCTCAATTGCTTTTGGTTTATCGAGATCTAAGATTTTAGAACGTGAAAGTTTGTTGAATCGTTTAGATTTTATTTATTTTATTTAATTGTTCCGATCGTTCAAAATGGACCAAAATGTTACTTTTCGAGTGTCAATAGCTCAAAATCAGTTGAGAATGTTCCAAAGTTTTCTTCTTTTGATCCTTTTGATCAAAAACTTTTGTATAATCTACAATGGTTATGTGTTTTTCCAAACATAAGTTGACCTTTCCAAAATCTATTTTATTCTTTTTTTTTAATTTTATTTTATTAATTTTACATATACCGTATAGACGGTGTTTAATAATAGGTTTATTGTGCTGTAGTGATTTGTGTCTTTTCTATCGCGCTCTGTGATTAAAGATTTTACTTTAGCTATGAAATGAAAATGAAGAAATCTTAGCTCGGATATGTTAATGAGGGCTCTGAGTTTATATTTTCCATACCAGCGACTTTCCTATTTTTCATTTTTCTTAATGCATGCTCTAGTTCTTCTGGTGATACGCCATTCATATGTATTATTTACTTTAACATTTTCTGCTTTTTGGTCGTCAAGCCATGGCTCATCATATTGTTTTATCCATTGATCTTCAGTGATAACGTTTATATTAAAATAAATAAGAACTAAAAGTTCAGATTTTCACGAAATTATATATTTGACATGACAATTGTTTCGACAACACCGTGTCTTTATCAAATCACAAATCACATTTGATAAAGACACGGTGTTGTCGAAACAATTGTCATGTAAAAATATTTAATTTCGTGAATATCTGAACTTTTTGTTCTTATTTATTTTGATAAATGGATTTTCATCAAGTAAAAGCCACATCAGTTCAACATTTATATTTGCTATCTTTTTCAACTTTGTTCAAATGGATTTTATGGGATATTTCTTATTTACCGCATATATCCTCTTCTACATTACTACTATACATTTTCCAACTTGCCGAGTTAATTGGTTAGATCTGTTCCTATTTTTCTTATATTCTTCTGCATGCTCTGTTTGATAGAAGGTAGTTTGTTGGAGTGCTGGTTTGATTTCCTCATTCCATGTGTTTCAACCTGTCTTTTTTAAAGTACTTTTTCCGTTTTTATAATACTTCTAATATAATACCATTCCTCTTCAAGGATATCGTCAGTTGATGTATCCTGTATATATTTGATTAACCTTGTTTGATAGATATGTCTAATGCTGGCGTCCTGTTTGATAAGTCTCTTGTTTTTGTGTTGTTCTATGTGAGCTTTGCCCAATTTTTTGGAGTGACTATTTTACCAACGATTAGATAGTGATCACTTCCAATATCTGTACCTCTGAACTCGAGTCTCTTGAATTAGTTTGTTTTGATTTTCGCATTAATAATTATATATATTCAAAATGCATTTCGATGAAGAATTTTGGCACTGTCTTTATACTTCCATGGGTATTTCTTTAGTGCAACTACGCTTGTCAATATTTTTAAATCTAAATCCGAGTTTGTGCAGAAATCGCTTCCCTGCTAATCCATTCTGCGTCACTACTCCTAAATACTTTCATTATGCCTTTGTCACAAGGTCCCTTTCTTTTTAGTGAATCATTATCAAGGAATCGACGCAAGGTTGTCCTCCCACTTTCCAGTTTTCATGGCTTCTGACGTAAAAAGTGTAAATTATTAGCGGGTTTTTTTATTTGCTATAATGCGGTTTCAGAAATCTTACAGCAATCGTTGACTATTATCTTTTCAAACAATTTTTTAATATTTGTATACGTAAACACAGTATATGCAATAATTTTCCGATAATATAATAATTATCTTATAAATTTTACCCTCATATAGTCGTAAAACGATTCTCTTGTGGTACATATTCAAATGACACTTTCTTTCTGGCTCGTTACTTTCCTCCGTTGCGTCGTCGAAATTTTCAAAAATCTCAAAAATACGAAAAGAAGCCGACGCGGTCCCACATCGACTTATAACATATTAAGGTATCGACGTCAAACCCGTGTAACGCCTTTTTCGTTTTTTGGCACAGGCCGTCTATTCTCGAGTGGCCCGGGTCTGCAAAAACGACAGGGGAGGCCCTCACCGTTTCAGGAACCGATGGACGTCTTTCCTCAAATCAAGACTTAACTGCTCGGTCACCGGGGAGTTCCCTTTCTACTTCAACGAGATACGTGAGTACAATACAATAAAATTTTCAGTCGAACAGGACAATTCGCACATTTTTTTGTTTTGCGATGGTGACGTTGCCGACACTTAAAGTGCCCGTTTTCAAGCACTTCATAATGTTTACCCGTCATGGTATAATAATAGTTTGTATTTGTGCTTTCGCTACCATTCAAGGACGTAACTAATTTCAATTAAGTGTAGTGAATATAATAATAATAATAATAACAATAATAATAATAAACTGACTATTGAAAATCAAAATATTACAATATAAGTAACAATACAAGAGTGGCGACATTCGCAATTTGCGCTCTTCCATGTAACCAAACGAACAACAGCACCAACGCCATAATTTTCAACAAAATATACACCCGTATATACATCGTAAATACGAGGGCAGCGCCAACATTTCCCGGCCTGAATATGAAAGAAACAAAGTAGGGTAACAATTTTCTATTATTTTTCAATATAATCCCTTCAATACACTTATTACATCTCTTTATTAAAAACTCAGTCCCTTTTGGTTTGTCTGCAAACACAGCCTCTTTTAACTCAACTTCTTCGTTAAACCGCCGTCCACGTAAGTCCTTTTTCCACTATCCAAACAAATAATAGTCGCTGGAGGCCATATCTGGATTATAGGGAGCATGATCTATCTGTTGGATCCTACACTCTAAAATGGCAGCTTATGCAACACCAGCAGTATAAACAGGTGCATTATAGTGCAAAAGACTCACGCCTCTGATCAGTTTTCCTCGACGTGTTACACGTATGCAGTCTCGCAATTTATGTAATAATGTTGCGTAATGTTTACCGTTGACAGTGGCATTAGTTTCTTTAAAATCTATCAAAAAAATTCCTTCACAATCCCAAAAGATCGTGGCCATCACCTTCTTTGTTGACTGGCAGACTCTGAATTTTCTTGGAGGTCACCCTTACGACGCTACTCCCTTGATTCTTTTTTCGATAGAGGGTTATAATAGAGAACCATAGTTTCATCTCTGGTCACAATAATTTCTATCACAGGCTTCGGTTCCGACCCACAGAGTTTCAAAAAAGACCGCGCACACTCGACACGGCTTTGTTTTTGATAAGCCGAAAGGTTTTTAGGAATAGGTGCTCCAGCCTGAGCCAACGCGAATCAGAGAGGCACTGTGAAATACTTTCTGAGATCGTAACTAAAACGAATTCGTTGGAGTCTCTCCTTATCTCGATTAAGTATAGCTGGCCAATAGACAATACTGCAATAAGCGACATGGGATAAAACTGACATTTCACAGAGTTTAAATTTCACTTCTTTACTGAGAAAATGTTTATGAATATACAATGTCCTCAACTTATAAAAGCCAACATGTTTAAAGTCACCGTCAAACCATAATCGTAAATTTCTACACCCATCTGAAGAAGGAGAGATAATCTCATCATTTAGTGTAATCTTAAAAGAAGCCTTTTTTACAATATTTTCCCTTTTATTTCCAGATAATATCTGCGTTTTGTTAGTATTCAATAAGAGGTTGTGATCCGCAGATGCCTCCACAATTATTTTTAAATCTAAATTTATTTTAGTTGCGGCATTTAAATCTTCACTAGCAAAAGGAGTATGATCGATGAGACTTATAAAATTTAAGAAAAGTAGAGAAGTCAGCTGTATTAACTGAGAACAGAATAGGTCCCAGAATACTCCCCTAGGTAATACCCCTCTCTAAAGCAATGACATCGGAATGAGTATTTCCTATAACTACCGTTTGGTATCTCTGATCAAAGAAAAGTTTTAAAAAATGAAACCGCAGTACCTTTTATCCCGAGGAATTCCAGCTTCAGCTAGGAGAACTAAATGATCCAAGTTGTCGAACGCTTTGCTATAGTCCAAGACTACGAGACAAGAGTTTAATTTAGAATCCGCTGCTCTCAATAAATCATCAGTAACGTGAAGCAAGGCAGAAGTAGTGCTGTGAAGAGGTCGAAAACCAGATTGAGTGTTTGGAAGGATTTTGAACTGACGAAGTTGTTTAGCTGCAATTTTTTCAATAATCTTTGAGATGGTTGGCATCAAACTGATTGGTCTAAAATCGTTAATGCCACTTGGACACTTTTTCTTTGGAACGAGTATAACTTCGGCTTGCTTCCATGAGTCCGGAAAAATACCGGTCAGCAGACACTTGTTAACAAGGAAAGTGATATGATCGACTAAATATGGAGTACTCAAAAGAATCGTTTTAATATCAATATGGTCTGAGCCATGAGCGTTAGTTTTAATACCAATCAAAGTCTTATTAACTTCCTCAGGGTAAACTTTAGCAAAACGGAATGGATAAGAACCAAATTGTTTATTAATATTATTTGCAGACACAAACCCCGGATCATTACCACGAACAGTTCCAAAAGAAGTAAAAGCAACATTAAAAATATTAGGTTGGCCAAAATTGTTTTTAAACTTTAAACTAGGATTACTGTGCACTCGAAGTCTCCTCAAAGTACGCCAAAAAATTTTAGGATCAGCCGTAAATGTACTTGCCTTTTCTCGGAGGAGTTCACTAAATTTAAAGTTTAAAGCAATATCTAACTTAAGACGTTTTTATCTTAAACGTGACCTATTTTTAAGTTTTATTAAAAGTTTAAGGTTTTAGGTAAGGCAATGGGGTTGGGGGTCTGTTAATTCTAACTGTTTTTAATGGAGAATGAAAAACAAATAAATAATTCATATTATTCGTAAGAAAGTCAACTTGTACTTGTACAATATTAGAAAACCTAGAAAAAAAGACCCTTTCCGTCATGTTGCTACAGACATAAACATACTAGTGAGATAGATGAGATTCCAACTAGTATAATAAAAATTTCTGTTCTATATGTTAGTGAAGTGTTGTGTATATTGATTTTGCCCGGATTTTCTAAAATATGAGTTGGCTATTTGCGAAAGACTGGTAGATGTTTTTAATAAGTATAAACTGTTCAACAATCACCAGCATGTTTATGTAACAAATAAATCAACATAAACCGCTATATTTTAATTTATAAAAACAATTTTAAAACACTTGGAGGGAGGAAGAATAGCTTTAGGTACGTGCTTAGAGCTTTCTAGAGTATACTATAGTATAAATAGGGATTTATGGCTCAAAAAATTGTAATAATACGGTGTAAGAGCCAATGTACTAAAATTGCAGAAAATTAGAGCCATTAACATTATGTTAACATTATTTTCAGGTGCCACTTTATGGCTTCCTGATCTATATAAAATAAAGAACACTTTAAGTTATCAATTCCAATATACTTTAAAATCAGTATTTAGGTTTCAACAATTTAAAAAAAATCTTTTTTTTGCCGTTAAATGATTCAAATTTTATTTAATATACCATTTGAATTTTAAAAACTAGAAAACTTTAAGTTGATTAAAATATTATAACTAGTTGCTAAATTTTCTACGAACATGCCTTTTAGCTTTAGCACCGCTCACCTCAGCAAAAGAAAAGCTTTTTGGTGTTTTGTATGTAAAATATCACCATAAACATAACCACTAAAGGTAAATTCTCAAATTGACTTTTTATAAAATCAGCTTCGGTCATTTTCAAAAGTTCTTTTTACTAAACTAAACTAAAATAAAAGTTAAATCCACCAATACGAACGAGTTGTGGTTCTCTAATGGCTTCTCTAGGCTAACCTTCGACTGACGTGTAGTCGAATTGACGTCACAACCGGTCACAGACAATGACAGCGTTTTTCAAAACTTTTACAATTTTTAATTGCTCATATTTGTTACCTAGAAATACGAATTTATTTTTTTGTGAACTGTGGTTCTTTTAATAGTATAAACTTACTTTTATAAGCAATATTTTTTAATTAAACTTTTGTTCAAGTTTCCTATTATAGGAAGGGACTATACCCAGCGTTTCTTCAGTTTATTTTTATATTTAAAGAAATAGTTTATACAATTCAATTTGGTAGCGTATTTTTGGCAGTTAAATAGTCTTGCATTTGGAATAAAACATGTGTGCATGTTACGTAAAGCTTTGTGTTGCTTTGTCCAAGTATTTTTGAGCAAATCTTACATCTGTTTCTGTATAAAAATAACGCATACCAAATATCAAAACTGGAAAACCCAATATTCAAGTCGCAATAAATAATTCAAGTTGTAACATCGGGCTATTCATTTTCAACGACACTAAACGCGCTGGAATGATCGTGACGTCAGACCGCTGCTTTTCGATCGAAATGGCAATATGTTATAGTGTTATTCTCAGGTTATAGGCCGCTAATTATATTATTTACATTTATTTTTGCTCTTATAAAGTGTGTAGTTAATCATACAATTTATCATACAATTGATGAATTTGATGATGAATGGGTATCATTAAATAAGTCTATATCAGAATAAAACTTGTTTACATGCAGCCTTTACCTTCAGCTTCAAGACATATTTTTGAGTTACAATCAAAGTTTCAATTACGCTTTTATTGGCTGCACCCTATGCAACGATGCAGTAATTAAGTAGTGATTCAACTAACACACAGTACATCTCTTTTAGAATTTTTGTAATAATTCTTGTCCAAGTTACTAATATTTGTAGATTATTTTTCTAATTTTATTAGAGATATATATTTATTTTAAGGGTACGATTGCATTGGAGGCGATTTTGACAGTCAAAGCTATGAACAGTTATGTCCGTAACAATGGAGTCATTCACTTTTTAACGTTCAGTGCTAAGTAATTTTTATGCTACCAACTTTTTATGTTTCATAGTCTCTTCGGCTTTTACTTTCACCTCAGACTACATTTCTCTACTAATGACTATGGCGATGTTCCTTGGATATTTCTTTCTTTATAGTGTCATGGTTGTCGAACCAAATCTCGTCTAAATAATATATAATGGGTATTTTTTTTTTCGATGTATAGAACTTTAAGTTTGCATTACTGTTCAAGATGGCGACCGATTTAACAGCTGTCAAGCGATTTATTCTCAGTTGGGTTTGGCAATATAGACTCACGCCTGAACAACGCTTGCAAATAGTGC